ATTAGAGTAAGACAAGTATATTCTTTCTCATTCTAGCTTACTGCACTGGTTCACCAATATAATGTAACTATCACACGCCGCGGAATACGGATACTAAACGGCGTTTCTAATTGATCAAGGACCAGTTCGTTCTCTGCATATGTGTTCCAGCCTTGCTAGACAATGTCATTGAAATCACCCAGACTCCTAATATGACGCGCTCGCCTTGACAGGTTTTATGGATTTTATCAAAGACTCTTGTGAGCGAGCGTTCAATATAGCTATTTTCCTATAAAAGTCGATAAACACGGCTAACAGAAATGCCCTGTCTTCTAAATAAGTAATAATCCTGCGCATGGCGAAACCTTTGAGTCAGTTCTGTCGAACGAGACTCATCACTTTCTAGACAGGCGCAAAGGCGAACAAACAAAGATTGAAAACAAAATGCCAAGAGATATCCCGAATTACATTATAAAATCTCTGCCATCCCGTCGTTAGAAGTTCACAAATCCGGTTTACATATTCGGATTTTACTAATTCTCGCGACAACTAATAATTGATGGTTTCAGCGGTGTGCACTGAGAAAAAAAGTTATTGAAATGACTAGATACGTTTAGTTGGCAGTATTTCTTCAGTTCAAATATATATGTTTTTAAGTTAAACTTACGGCGATTTATTGAAACATATACTCGAGGAGGAAACCGCTGACCAAAATCTTGTACACCAATGCCCAGTAATGCCCAGTGGGCATTATCTTATCTTATTATATTGTTTTACCTTATTTACCTTGTTTTATCTTATTTTATCTTTATAATTGTTATGAATTTATAAATATTTGCTTGGCAGCCCGTCATCACCGCATATAGTTGAATCAAGAAATGTTTCTTAATTCACCACTTTTTTCCCTCAGCGTGCGAACACAAACTTCTGTATACTACCAGACCTTCGGGCTGACAAGTGAGGCAAGAGTTCCGCCATGTCTTGTCAGGTAAATAAAGTAATATGTGTACATCGGTCTGTCAGTGATACACTATTTTGTTACATGGCGGAACTCTTGCCTCGCTTTTCAGCTCGAAGATAGCGGTCTAGTAGTAAGTAGAAGTCGTGTACAAATATGTGTACAAATTGCATCGATGCCGCATGACGAAAGATCGTTTTCGGCATTTGATTGGCACGCGATTTGAAGTCGTAGTCGAGTAATCGGGTCGAGACACCGGCGGTCCCACGATTTACCGGTTCAACTGTTTCGCGGGATATTTTCTTCCAAGTGGCCAGGCCTCGATCGAACGGACTGACCCACGCGAAATCGGGCACGGATTCGAGCCGGGTCGGAGCACTCCCGGGGGCTGCGGGGCGAGCGGGGCGAGAACGAGGAAAGGAGGACCCGCGTGGTTATCGTGTCAAGAGTGTGTGGCGGCTCGCGTGCGCCTAATCGCGAGTGGCATCGGTTGAGAGGGCCGTTCGGGGTTCGCGGTCATTAGCGGTGACCACGACGTATCGATTTCTCCTTCGGACCCGTCCACCCTTTGTCACCTCCTCGCTTTTTTAACGGCCTTCGGACCTTACGCGTTTCGTGCTCCTCGAAATATCCGTGACGTCAATTATTAAAAAGAAAAAGACCTCGCCCGCTTCTCGGTACTCCTCGTCATATCGTGTCGACGATGCCGAGCCGATAATCCCGCGCCGACGTTCGCGATCTTTAGGGCTCTTTCGCGGAATACTGCAAATAACGCTCGTAAAGATTCATCAGAGTTAACTGCCCGTAGAGACAACGTCCGCGCTTAAATATCAATTCTCTGTTTGGCTAAACGGAACCGTAGACCTCGAGTTAAATGTTAAACTGACATTTTGTGTTTGTATCTAATTAGTAATCGGCGGAGACGTATAGCGAATTCGGTTGCTTGCACCAGTGCGCACTGAGTGCGCACCAAGGCCTGTTTATGGTCAATTTTTACACTTAACTTTGTCTTAAATACATTCTCAAAGAGTATTTAGCCAAAACTTGATCCGTATGGATGCTATACAGATTATTTTACTGGCTGAGAAATATTTCAAGGGATATTTAAGACGATCCTCAAATATAATTGACTGTAAACAAATCTTAGTGTGCACTCAGTGCGCACTAGTGCAAGCAACCGCATTCGGTATTAAACAATTGAATAATTCGGCGATGCATTATTCATCGGCCGTTCATGGAAATATGCAATTCGCACTGAATATTCAGATAACAATGAATCACAAGATAACAATATTATATACAGGGTGAGTCGTAAAGGCTGTCCCAACCTTTTACCATAAGAAATGATTTACCGACCCCGCAACTGTAGCCAACTCGGGGAAAAAATAGATAAAATCTCGTTCTACATGTCTCATTCATGTAATACCTAATTATTTCTCGAGAAATGTAATTAGATATTACATGATTGAAACATGTAGAACGAGATTTTATCTGTTTTTTTTTCCGAGTTGGCTACAGTTGCGATCGGTAATTCACCTCTTATGATAAAAAATTGGGACAGCCTTTATGACTCACCCTGTATACCGAGTTTAATAGTAAGCTCGCGGTATAAATGATCGATAAGACCGTATTATCTGCGTATTATGTAAACTATCATACAGCTATACAATTGCTAGGCATGTCTCTGGCACACGGAGAGAATTTTCTCTTAAAATTTACCCTGAAAATCGTGTAATCGTGGGACAGCCTGGCATTTTGAAGACCTGAGAGTTTTTTTTTTTTAAATTTTACCATACATTCTACTAGTAAAGCGTACGGTGATATTTATTACTAGGCACTTTTTGGGCATTAGCTTGGGCCGAGGGGAAAACCGCTGACCAAAATCTTGTACACCAATGTCAACTAATGTCCAGTGGGCATTGACCAAAATCATTTTATTATTAGCGAGAAAGGATGGCTCCGGTTCGCGATGTTAAATTAATTGTAAAACGGGATATGTACAGAATACATCGCGTGTTCCCTCATCATTTCCTAAATTAACAACGATATAAACTAACGATCGCTCATTATCTTATTAATAAATCCGCCCTAAAGTGAAACGTGGAAAATCTGGATACCCGGACAATTGTGTTATGTGAGTTCAAACTTGAGCGTTCCGCTGCATTTCCTCCCGAGCTGTGCGTAACACGCGCATCGTGTTTCGGGAGAATAGCGTTAATGAGCGCACGGCCCGACAATGGCCCGGCAAATTTCATAGACCGCGGAGAAGCGGCACACAAAACCTGAGGCTATTCAGAAGCCTGTTTCGTCCAGTCTCTCGAAAGCGAGGACCGTGGCTGTTACAGACATGAAATTTATTGCTTAAAGCCACGCCAGGAACCATGTGCGTTAATTCAAGATACCTTTACTAAATTTTACTGTTGAAAAGATGCACTTTTTATTTTCCATATCTTACGCTTTGGCTGCGCCGACTCGACGCCTCGACGAGTCGGCGTAAATTGTAATCCTCGAAAAATTCTGGTTGCAAATCAAACCAACAGAATTATATTAAATAGAAATCGCGCGTGACAGTTCCCAGCATCGCAGTCTTCGTACAGTTGAGCGATTCTCCGTTTCTCCCCGTAATAAAAGAGAGAAACAAACGCGTGTGTAGAAGCGGAAAGATTTGTTCGACGTTTGTTTAATAAATAACGCAGCCCGAGCCCGTTTGAAGCTGCGCGATGACGCATGGCATCGACGTAGCTCCCGCACGGCGAGGCTCCTCGGAGCGGAGAAATCTCCGCTCTGACGCGCAACGATACGCTCCATCTCTCCTATTTTGCCTTTCCATCTCCGCGATAACGGTACTGATCTGACGGTCGATCTGTTATCGGCATTACCGCGCCGGTCTACCGGGTGTGTCCGCCGCGTCGCGCGTGATTTAAACCTCCGTTGGGATAATCACGTTAAGTACACGTTGGAGCGCATCGGGTCGTAATTCGCTGTTGATTCTCTTCGTGTATCTTCGGCGACCTTATTGGATTTACGAGGGTCTCTACCACCTCGCGCGATTACTCGTTACACGGCGATTAGACCCGGGGATACAAGGATCTCTTTCGCTAATTTTAGCGCGGACAACGCTTGTCCTCCGCGCAGAGTGAACGCTTCGCCGGGCAGATCCCCCGTCTCTGTGGGATCAGACGGACAAGTTCGCGATAAGGCGCGATAACGCCCTTTCCGTATTAAGACGGCGCGGGCGGCACGCGATAAACTTTGCGCACGGCCTGGTTTCGGCCGCGGATCAACGCGGTCTATGGAATCGTGACGTCGCGCAATCGCTAATTGTACGGCACGTAAATGAGATCTGTTGCGTCAATTGGCGATTAATCTGCTTTCGTGCGCTTCCCCTCCTTTAAGCATGAAAATAAAAATTGAACGCTATTTTTAAAATAAACTGATATTATCTCGTATGAGACTTCGCGGTTTATCGAATACAGATGCGGGATTCAAGGTTTATTTTATTAATATAATACTTAATATCTCATTTTATTGAGATTTTTCAACGCGACTGTCGTTGTACAATTATCGATTGGATAATTTTATCCCCAATGCCGTTATTATACATCAGTACGTTATTTTAGTACACTGCTTAATTATATTCATTTTTTTCACAAGAGAACAAATATCTAAAGAATTATGTAACGCCAGTACATTATTAACCAATGTAGAAAAATTGTCAAACGACCCTACCTGGCAAATTCTAATTAAAGAAATTTATTGCGAAAACTATTACCTCAGCTAGGGTTTGAACTTGGACTTCCCTAGAGTCTAGGCGAGCGTCTCACCAATTCGACAACTGAGGCATGTCATGGAGGTTTAAAATATATGAAGTAACTATTAATGTAACTGAGTTAAGTTACAGTTACAGATGGCGAGAAAGTAACAAAGTTAAGTTAGAGTTACAAAAAAAAAGTAACTGCAATTTCGCAAAGTTACTTTGTAACTCCGTTACAAGTAACGAGTCACTTCCCAACCCTGCTTTTTAATTACTCTTAATAATCGTGCATTCTCGTGTCGATTCCAGGGTATGCGAGAGACAGAGGGACGCCGACAGGCATAACGACAGGGGCGAGGATGACGACGAGGACGAGAATCCTCTGGGGAAGTGGCCTCACGCCCTCAGTTCGACCCTCGCGTGCCTCGGCTGCACTCTGGGACTTTTTAACATCAGCAGATTCGCCATTCTCAGCGTGCAGTTCGGAGGTGAGCGCGCCCTAGCCACAGAAATACCGCGAACCCTCTCACGAGGAATCTGTCAATGTTCCACACACGAATTCCCTCTCGCGAAGATGGTGTAAAGGAAACTTTTGACGCGCGTGAATTTTCGCGGAACGGAACGCTCTCAAGGGAGAGACAAGGAGGGACGGATTACGTTTTCGAAAAAACGCGATATTTATTCGTGACTGGCGAAATTTATATCACACATCTATCGGGATCGATTTCGTCAGCGTTGCTTAACTTTGACCCTAGCTTAACTCGCTTCTGAGGAGACGAAAAGGGACGAAGGATGAATTGCTCTCTGAAAATCAATCGGTGATAATCCACTGATTGACTTATAGAGAGTCACTGATTGATTTTTAGACGAGTGAGCTTAAAATTGAAGTCAAGCGGCTGTTGGCGAACCCGGGCCTCGGCCCCGCGAAACGGTAGATCCTCGACGATGCTGCGCGGCGCCAGCGCTAAACGAGGCCTTCCGGAACGACCGGCGAGATTACCGCGCCGTTGATAATAATTCATACCGCGGCGTGTGTTTCTCTCTCCCTCCCTCCTCGAATAATCTCGGAACAATTAGTTCCGCGGCTATTTGCGAGAATAATGATCGATCTGTACAGAGGAGAAACGGTCGGTTACCCACGCTCGACGCACAGCGACGTTCCTCGTGCGAGCGAGCGATCGTGCGACGTTTTTCTCCGTCCCTGAAACACGGGATTCTCCTTCACTTTGCAACTTGCTTCTTTTAATCCTCTCGTTCTCACTCTTTGTTCTTCTTTTTTTACAGCGAACTTTATTATACAGTTCATGATCCTGTCCCTCATGCTGGGAATCCCGCTGCTGACGCTACAAGTATGTCTCGGACAAAGATTGGCGGCCGGTTCCGTGGATATGTGGAGAATATCGCCGCTTTTTCAGGGCGTCGGGATAGCCCTGCTCACCGCGCAGGCCTTCATCGGTATCTACAGCATAGTGGGTGTGTCGTGGATGTTCGTGTACTTCAGGTAGATTGACAACGCGAAAGCATCGTTTAAAGCCGACAGTAAGCTACGCGCTACTCGCGATCGCCCGGTGAACACCAACTGGCAGTTGCATAACATCAATATTGTAATTTCTCACAGGGGGAGAATTTTCTCTTCGAATTTATGGTGAAAGTCATGTGATCGTGGGACAACATGACAGTCTGAAGAACTTTATGAGAGTGGAGTGGAATTTTTGGAAGTTTACCACACACTTTACTAGCAAAATGTATACTAACAAAATTACTAGGGAAATGTATTGCAACATTTCAGAAAACTCATAAAATTTTTCGAATGGCCGCGTCGTCCCATGATTACAATATTTTCAGGATAAATTTTAAAGGAAAATTCTCTCCGTTCACCAAACAGTATAAATGTAATGTAACGTGAGTTATACAGTTACGTTGTTGAATAGGAAATTATAAGTTAGTTGATAGTTCATCGAAATAGATCCTCTACACAGTTCGCGACTCACGAGTGGACTGGTTGGTGCACGGAGAGAATTTTCTCATAAAATTTATCCTGAAAATCATGTGACCGTGGGACAACACAGCATTTCAAAGAATTTGACGAGTCTTTTGAAATTTCACCATACATTCAACTAGTAATTATACTTGGTGTACTTTTACTAGTAAAATGTATGGTGAAATTTCGAAAAAAACTCTCGTAAGGTTCTTCAAAATGCCACGTTGTCCCACGATCACATATAATAATTTTTAGGATAAATTTTAAGAGAAAATTCTCTCCCCGTAGTAATTCGCGTTCTTCAGTTGCGTCGAAAAATTTCACTCTGCCGGCGAATCAGCGCAGATGATGAATTTCCTCTTCACACGCGAATAGCGTGAACGGGCATATTCGTCGAGTTCGCACTCGTTGTTTGCCGCTCGTGTTAATTCGCCGGCGGAGCGCTTTTTGACAAAATCAAAGAGCGCAAATTACCACGTGCCAATTAACTCGTATTGATTCGGCATACAATGTTACATGACGCGCTAACATACATGTTTATTCGTGTAAACGTTATCTTACATTCACATAAACTGCCGACCACTCTATTTTACACTCATGTTTACTATTTTTAAATACGCTCTCTAAAATTTGTGGAGTGAAAATACTGCCATGGAGCGAAATGTTCACCCTATTGGCGTGAATATTTCCTCCAACGGAGTGAATATTAACTCCAATGGAGTAAACATTTCACTCCATGGCAGTATTTTCACTCCACGAATTTTAGAGAGCGCGATTTTGTTTATGTTAATAACATATTTGACCGGTGTCACCGTAAATTCCGATGAAATTTAACGGACAAACTCGACTTTCACGCAAGTCCTAAGTTTAGTAGGTCGAGAAGGAATAATAATAAACCACCGCGGGCCTAGAAATAGTGCCAGACTGATATACGCGCGTCATATTTGTGCGATCTCGACGCGATGATCTCAATGCCTCCTTCGAGTCACCAGGCACCTCGCCTACACGCAATATCGAAATAATGCCATGCTGCATTGATCAAGTGGGACAAAACGCGTGGTACATTGATTGCAGGGATTCGTTCATAACGAAGCAGGATAGGTATCGATGGACGGAGCCGTTTCTTCTCTATCGAGGCGACAGCCGTCCCACGCACAACACCACCGCTTCGTACAAATTATGCGAGACTGTTCCGGATTACTTTAGCGGTGTGGTGCTGCAAAGACACCACTTGAATGAGGCTAATCCCGGTGTCGTCACGCTGAAGTTCCAGGTGGCCTTCAATCTAGCCGTCGTGTGGATGATCGTATTCGTTTCACTGAGCAAAGGTGAGTTTTCATGAATTTAATTTCTCCCGCTGGCTTCTCGACAGCCCCTTTTTTAACGTCGCACATATCGTATCAAATTTTACACGAAAACGCCTTCGTATAAGAGAAAGATCTAGTCGTGGGCAAATGATGAATTTTAATATAAACGAGTATTTTTATATTCATGTGCGATACACGGAGAGAACTTCCTCTTGAAATTTATTCCAAAGATCGTGGGACAACACGGCGTTTTGGAGAATTTTATGAGAGTTTTTGAAATTTCACCATACATTTTATCAGTAACTGTACTTGGTATATACATTTCGCTAGTAAAATGTACGGTAAAATTTCAGAAAACTCTCATAAAGTCGTTCAAAATGCCACGTTGCCCCACGATTACACGATTGTCAAACTAAATTTTGAGAGAAAATCCTCCCTGTGTACGGTAGAGGGAGAAGAATTTTGTCACTACATATCTTATACGATACATGCGGGCTCGTTCAACGTGCACCACGAGAGATTCAATCAATTGTCGTTCTTATTTTAATTCAGGACTGCGATCCTACGGAAAAGTTGTGTACGTGTTCACGCTGGTGCCCGTGTTCGGCACGTTAATCCTCTGCACAAAGCTGCTTGGACTCACCCCGCCGGGCTCGATACACCAACTTTTCCCCGCCACCGTTTGGAACGAATTCTTTATTAACGGGAAGTCATGGGTGGCTGCCTCGAACGAGGTCTTCCTCACATGGGGTTTGCTCGGCGCGGCCGCTATGCAGGTATCGCCGCCTATCCGTACGATGATTATTTAACAGGAGCGCAACCTCGTTTTCCCCTATGATTATTCCTCGACTGGTCGTAACACTTAAACGCGACAATCGGTAGCGGCTTATTACAATATCGCCACTTTCAGATAGCGGCTCACAACAAGCACAAGCATCTCCTGCAGCGGGACACTAGCCTCGTGGTAATCCTGACGTTTGTGGTTCTCCTCCTCGCGGCTTTCCTAGCGAATACCTGCGTACAAATCCTCAGGCATCACGGTTACTTCTACTCTACGAGTTCTTTCGGTAAGCACGTCCGTCGTTTTCTATTGCCGAATAATACGGACCGTTCGCGTTGTCCGCCCAAGTCAATCATTCTCGGACGATTTCACAGAGAGAATATCATCGTACACGTTTATGATGCTCGCCAGTCAACCGGCACCGCAAGGGTACAGCAACACGCCGGAGAGATTCATGTCTCACGCATCGTTTCTCCTTGGCGAGCGCGTAACACGACCTGGCGCGGACACGAGTACGGAGTCCGGGTACCAGGTGTTACGGCTCGCCACTGAATTGGTGCCCTCGACGCTGGCATTGTTGGGCGCCGAGCAGGTGTCGCCGTTCTGGGCGGTTCTATTTTACTTCATTCTTATCTTATTCGGGATTGCACAACAGGTACACGCGCTTTACCTCCTGCTCGATGAAAGCGATATTACAAATAAGTTCCTACCAATATGCGAATATTAAAAAGAAAATGTAGCCGACATTTTTAATGGCGAATATGTAATCGTGACAATGCATGAAAGTTTTGTTAATATTTTAGTTGGCGATCTGGCACTGCGTAATAACCGGTATAATGGCGATCAATACGAAAATGATGAAGCTCTGGGAGACCACGATCACCTTTTTTAGCTGTGCTTGCGCATACATACTCGGATTACCCATGGCTACGGAGGTACAGTGGAATTCTTCGTAATCGCTTGACAAATTGACAATGATAAGTTTTCGATAAAGTTATCGTCTTACTTATCTAAAAGTATTACTTGATACACGGAGAGAATTTTCTCTTAAAATTTATCCTGAAAATTATGCGATCGTGGGACAACGTGGCATTTTGAAGAACTTTCTGAGAGTTTTTTTCGAAAATGTACCGTACATTTCACTTGTAACATGTATACTAAGTGTACTAGTACTATCCCAGTGAGAAATGACTCGTCGATCGATGTCGAAACGATGTCGCATCGACATCAATTTGAAGGTGTCGATTCGACATCTTTTCGATATCGGTCGACGAATCATTTCTTACTGGGATGTTACTATGTATATTAGTAAAATGTATGCTAACAACAAGTATAATTACTGGTGAAATTTCAAAAGACTCTCATAAAATTCGTCGAAATGCCACATTGTCCCACGATTACATAATTTTCAAGATAAATTTTTAAAAAGGCAATTCTCTCCGTGTAGAAAACACGATTATGCCCGAACACGCAAATATTTATATTACTAATTATATGTGTACGTCACAGAGAGATAGCGCATTTTTAAGTTTACATGGTATATTAACACGATACGCATGACACAGCTATGTGTATCCTGGATATATCTGTAACATTATCTCTGTCTTCGAATCCCCACGACTCTTATCAGATAGTGCGCACAATCTTTCAGTCCAGAGAATTGTTATCAGCACTTAATTTTAGTCCGCGCCGGCATTAGTATCGCAAGCGTGGCCGTATTAAAACGGGAAGATGAGTAATAACGTCCACACGGTAGTGCGTCGCAGCGTGCCTTGCTACTTTTGCAACGAATTTTTGGAAGAGAAGTATTTGACGGAACATATAACGCATTGCGCGGCGGTCCTGGAGGAATGTCCCAACAAATGCGGGGTTTACGTTCCGCGCAGAAACCTGGAGGTACACGAGAACGAGGCGTGCAACAAGAAAACGTCGACGAGGAACAGCCAAATAAGAGACATCCAAGACTCGGTGTGGAAAGAAAAGGTCTTCTCGATACTAACGTTATTGCGTTTAGCTATCGATCAGGGGGAAAAGGAGAGGATTCGTTTGCAGGGTGATCTCACTAGAAACTTGAGCTTGCTGCACTCGCAGCAGGAATCTCTCGCCGCGTTACAGTTGAGTATCGAGGAAGCGGTCGATGAATCTCGCGGCAACCACGCAGCGCTGAATCGGAGGCTGAATAGTTTGGAGATGATCACCGACGATATGCAGCACTGCACTACCTTGAATTTACGACAAATATCCGAGCAGCTGAAACTGTTGGAGGGCGAATTGACCGATGAGCAAAGCAAGCACGTGTGCGCGCCTAACGATTGGTTTGAGGAACTGAAAGACCTGAAGACGTTCGTCGCCAAGGAGAGCATACGCGCGTGCGATATATGGCAGGAACATTCGCAACGTGTCAACGATTTGAAATTGGAATTGGAAATGAGATGTACGAACACGAGGGAATTAACGTCCAAGCATGACGCTTTGTCAGAGAAGATGAACAGTTTGTCGGAAGAAATCCGCAGGCACTCGGAGAGCGTGGCCAAGCGGAAAACGGAGATAAAGGGCCTGAAGTTTCAAATGAAGGAGAATCTGAAATATATCGAAGAGCTAATCATGGAGAGCTGTAGACCGGAACCGTCGTTGAGTTCGTGTTCCTGCGAAGGTGCGGAGAACACCTCGACGAACGGCCGTATTATCTGGCGATTCGATCGTTACAAAGAGAAGATGAACGAGGCGAGGGAGAGCGATTGCGCGCTCCACAGCCCGATATTCTACAACAAGGAGTACGGTTATACTCTGAGAATGGAATTATTTCTGAACGGCAAGGGGCAGTGGAAGGACCGCCACATCATCGGGTGTCTGCGCGTGGAGAATGGAAAGTGGGATCCCTTGCTGGACTGGCCCTGCGTGCTCAGAGCTGTCGTGATCTTACGAGACCAGGACAATCCCGCGAACGATATTAGAAAAATCGTCAAGACCGTGGGTCGAGATAAGGATGATTCAGATCCCGATAAGGAATCTGGGCTGTACATGTTTATCCCTCACACTACGCTGAGCAGACACTCCGGTTATACGAAGAATAACGTTATGTTTTTGGATATACAAGTGAAGGATATAAGGACAAGTGCTTCGACAATGTCATTAGTAGCTTAATCAGCGATTACTTTCAACAAACTGTTACGCCGGTACTTTTAACGATAGTAGTAATGACAAAATTATTATCTAATTATCATCTCACAATTAGGTAACTTAAAAAACACTTATTATTAAACGTACTGTCGTAATTATTTAAATAAAAGTACCACTCAGATCTTATTTTCATTATGTATTATCGTGTATGTTCGCAGTTGGGTATTTATGTCGTGTACTATCTCGACTACACCGTCGGCGGGGTATGGTGGATAATTGTTCTGTATCTAATGCAAATCGCCGCCGTGTTCGCGGTGCGCGGACGTCCGCACACCGGCGACGCGGTCGTCACCGAGTTATTTTCGCCGACCGGGCAATGCCTCAGGTACTGGGCCGGTCCTCTCCTCTCCTTCACGTGGAACGTCGTGCTTCCTGTCACATTGATAGTAAGGCAATTTCTATTAGACGCAACGAGACTATCACACACGGGTCGCAGTCACGCACGGGCGCGCCTCATCGTTATTGTACTCCACAGGTTCTGAGTATCACAATATTCAAGAGCAGCGACTTCCGGGAACTGTACTCTTATCGTCGCACGGACAAAGATTACTGGGCTGTGTGGGCAAGGCAACTCGGCGCGGCGATTCAGCTGACACCGATACTCGTGATACCGGCGGTGGCTGTCATACAGACCTGTCGATACCTGAATAGCGGGCCACCTGATATATTTGACGTGAGTCTTCTTGTTTGTCGCGTAAACCTCAAGTATTTTATTATCCTCGCCGGAGAAAACTCGCAATTAACAAAGGGTGTAAAAGCAACTGTTGCTTAGAAATAATTATCGAACGATCCCTAGTAGCACAGTGCATTGGCTAAACATTGGCTAAATATTGGCCCAATGTCGGTTATACTAGAAATGCATTGGCCGATATTGTTCAACGTAAAGCGAATATTGGCTATGGAATAAATGTAAATATTGCACGATAATAATTATATAATATTAGATTTATATTGGAAGCGCATTGGCCATAATTTAACAATGCAGAAAGAATATTGGAAATGTATGGAACATTTCATTGGCTGTGAAGTATCTAAAGATAATCTTAAGACGGTCTTGTATATATAAGATTTGACTATGAATACCGGCCTAGATTTACATTATTTCTCAATATTGCGCCAATATATTGTGCTACTAAGGATGATGGCGCGAACGGCAAGGGTCAAGCTTGCGATTATGTTTTTACATATATCAAATGCTTTTTCTGTAATTGTCTACAGTGGCACAATTTTTTATTATACGGAGTGGCTGGAGAATAATCGCATTGCCTTTCGTGGACAGATAGCGTGGGTTAATATGGATGGAATTGTTCTCGACTGTATTGCGATTTGTTCAATACTCAATGAGAATTTAATCGATAAAAGTCCACGGGAATTTTTCCATTCAGTTTAACCCATTCTGTCCACGAAAGGCGATTGTTACAGACATCCTGTATACCATTGTACCAATGCTACTAGCGTACGCTACTAATGACTAACATATCTTTTACACTGTCTTTCTGTTCTTGCTGACAATAGAGCGAACAGGTGGAAGTAACAATAAATCACTGTGAACAATGTAACGGCGTAAGTTTTACATGCTTTCTGCAGTAATATTGTACAAGTGTTGCAACGACATTGCTCTTTAATATAATATTAGTCGCTAATATAGTATAAGCCTAGTAAAAGAATTTTTCATGCACGAACACGAATAAGTATATAGATTTATATAAAAATATGCATCAAGTATGTCTCCATACAGATATTTTTACATTGTATATTTCTATATCTAATTTTATACAATTCTACACAGTCTGTATCATTTTCTAGATTTATACGCGCTTTTATATGAAAAATTGCTTATTTATAATTATATAGAGCTGTGTAGAATTGTATAGAATTACACAAAAATATCCAATGTAAAACTATGTACGGACCTACTTGATGTATAATCTTATATAATACTATATATTTATATATGCTCGTGCATGACAAATTTTTTACTGCAAGTAAACATGCGTAACGGTGCAATAAGTAAAGTGTGCATAAACACACATGTTTTTTTTATGTGCGTCAAGTGTACCGAGTTACATTGTGACTGAGACAATCTGATCTTTGCAGAGAATTCAATTGCTTTATCGGCCACCGCTGGAGCCGGAGGATCCCCGCGACGCGCAGACCCAAATTGGAAACGACACCGGCACCAGCCTGCACGGGAACGGGATCTTACCCGCCGCGACCACGGAAATACCCTTCGAGGATCCGCCACCGAAGTATACACCCCCGCCGAGCTACACCACGGCTACCGGAGCGCGGATCGCGAAGATGCTGCGGCAGAGCTTCCGGCGGAGCGTGCGGAGGATCGCGAACGTTCTGGGGGAGAGCAGCGGGCCGCGGCAGAGGCCGGCGTTGCAGCCGCCGCCGCCGGACTACGCGACCGTCCTGGTGGAGATGAACCAGAGCGGCACGCACGTGTCGCGCGATCAAGTCGCGATCCACGTGCTGTCGGAGCTGCGGCCGGACGTAACGAATACCGGCGGCAGCCGGCACGGCGTGGACACCTCGGTGGTCGAGCGCCGTCATCGGCCGAACACCATCGACCGCACCAGCAGAATCGGCATCGCGGGGAGATCGCGCGCGATCGAGCGCGCCCACTCGACGATCGACCGCGGTCGCCGGTCGTGCGCGACCACCGTCGCCGCGCAGCACGCCCTGACGGCCGCCGACGTGGCGAACCTGTTGCGCAGCAGCATACGCAGGGGCACCGCGAGGACGCAGCAGTCCCTGCGCAGAAGCTTCTGCCACGAGGAACCCACGACGACGGCGTCCGTCGAAAATCTAGTCGAGGCCGCCGCGCCTATCGGCCAGGACTCCTTGATCCTATCGAAGGACGCGTCTCTAGTCCCCGGCGAACAGGTCGACGACCGCGGCGACGGCGACGATGGCGACGAGAAGAAGACTGCGAGCGAAATGGAGAGTTCCGTTTCTGTGATATAGACTGATACATCGGTCGGTCGTGGCACGCACGGCGCACGAAACCGGCATTTCGGGTCCAGTGACTCCGGTTAGCGTTTAATCGCCGCCTCTCTTTCTCTCTCTCTCTCCAGACTGTAAACTTTCTACTTGTAAATATAGACGGAGAGAAAACCTCGCTAACCGAAATCGACGTCGGCGCGACGTCGACTCGGACAGCCCTAAAGTGCTTGGATCGAAATTATACATTGACGTTTTGCTCCCGTGCCTGAGCAATTGCACGCGTTTGTTGCTACCCCGAAGTATTCTTGTGTTCTTACCGTATTTATTTCTTAATTATGCGATACCTATATACATACACTTCTTCGTTACACGTTTCAGAGAAAATAATGCGATGACGGTGATACCGACGATGAGAAAGTAACGTTTTGCATAATATAATTCGATGCACTTTTGAATATCTCGGACCTCGGTCTCGCGTTTCAGCGTCAAAGTCAGGTATACGATTTTAACTCCACTTAATTCCGCAATGTACACAATTTTTCCCTGCCGAATAAATAGCATTCGGAAACAGATTTAATTGCGACTCCGAATAAGTCATGTAAATACGGGGGCCCTCGCCTCCCCTCAGTAGTTAGGCAGAGGAGAATTATACTAGTGTTGCTAATAAAGTAGTGCGATCGTCAGAAGTACATTGGTCTCTCCTAATTGCGCTTTCTCCGGGGATTATGCGGAAGGGGAGTGACCGAGTTAAGCAAACGGGGTCGATTAGGGACTACGTCACGACTCTTCCTAGTTCTTCCGACTGGAAACTTAAGCCTAATCTCTTGAGTTCGAGAAAACATTTAATAGCGATGTGCTTCGAGTCAATTCGTTTATGCAGCGTCTGCGGCGAAAATTGCGCGTGCCCTCGCTCGTCACGATTAGTCGATCTTGTAAATACGTGTAGCATTTTCGCGAGTGAATAAATGTAGCATTTTGTAAAATTACATTACTATTTTAAATCAACTTGCTAGGTACGTCCTTTGTCAGTCTCGGAAGTGTATAGTCCGTCCAGTGTCGATGTTTTCTGTATTTTTTCGTTATGGATCATCACGAGAGCGATTGTCGCAGTGAGTTAAACCGCATAATATCGTCATCTCGATCGAGAGGGAAGGAGCCATCGAAAACGTTTGATCGAAGCAAGATTCTGGACAGCTACGTCCGTCGAGAACAAATTCTGCCAAGTGTCTGCTGCAAGTTTCTAACAAAGAAGCTACATATTTGATGCAAGATCATTGTATATCTGGCATATGCAATGCTGTTGGAAAAATACTAACGGAAATGCACCAAAATTCGTCAAACGAAAGCTGCGTTCGGCATTGCAGATCTCGAGCGTCGTGCTCTCTCGCGTGCGAGTGGGCGAGAAAGGGGAAAGAGAAATGCACTCCAACGTTCCTCGGATTTGCAACGCCGAACGCAGCTGAAGCATGGCAGAAATCTAATCAACCATCTGCCAGTGAAACACGAGCTTAATCGAGACGCGGCCTGATTTCAATTTACTTAGCAAATTTCGATCGAATTCGTTGCCAATCTGCTGGCGTATTGGCAGTTCGCTCATCGAGATTATGCGCCGTACATTCTCGTGTGATCCTTCAACTTACTAGCGATACAACATCCAGATATTTTCCGCAAGTGTAACCGTTATACCTGATACTGTGGACCACAATAAAGTTTTTATGTTCTTGTAAACATCTTGCCGTGATCCTCAATGCTGAGCCGGAGAAAAAGGATTCGCAATACTCGAGTGGATAAATATATAACATTTTAGTAACTGTTGTTTCAGTTTTAGCGCACGATAAATTGCGTCATATATTTATTGCGTGGATTTATTCCTACGCGCAATCATACCTGACGATCCTAAAACTCTGGTATTGCACAAACAAGAACGAAAACTCTGACGACGCATGGAAGGTAAACGTTTGATGGATTTTTGAAAAGGCATAATGTTACGAATCTTTTCACGTGGACAATACAAGCAATGTGAATTGCTATAAATTAACTGACTGACTAATTGATTTTTTGAGACGCACTTTCGCTAACAGTAAACTTAAAAGTAAATAGTTTTAGATATTAAATTAGATGCATCTCGGTTATAATTTATTTTTAATTAACCGTACGGTGATATAAGAGAAACATTATACTAATATAAAAATATTTTTTCATTTCCGATACTTGCTGACGAAATGTGAATCGATTCATGATCGCTCCATGATTCATGAATTACTCATTGTTTACGTGACACGTTTACGACATAGTTTAAATTATACAGGGTGTCCTGAAATTCGCGAATCAAAATACCATAGCAAGAATGTCGTCGAAAAAATAAATTAAAAAGTTATTTGCCATTTTTCGTTCCGAGCAGTAGTTTTTTTAGATTAAAAGGTTCAAAACAGGCCAATCATACATTACGGTTGAACGGAAACCTGTCCGTGAGTCGCGCGTCGATAGTTTAGTGCACTAACACTATCGACGCGCGACTCACAGACAGGTTTCCGTTCAACCGTTGAACCTTTTTATCTAAAAAAAAACTACTGCTCGGAACGAAAAATGGCAAATAACTTTTTAATTTATTTTTTCGACGACATTCTTGCTATGGTTTTTTGATTCGCGAATTTCAGGACACCCTGTATACGTGTAGATCATTACATTTCACGCGCAAAACTCTGCTTACCCTAATTTAAATTTAACGAACTCGCGGGAGTGATTTATCTTGGAAACAAACCGCTCGATCGCTTATCAAAGACTAATCAAAGTTCACCCGATTCGTGTTCTCGCCATCGAAGGCTCTCGCACAAATGCGAAAATATGCAAAGATAAGAAATAACCCACCCGAATTTTGACAAATAAGGAAGAAATACTCCATCAAAGTGGCCAATGTTGACCACTTGTCGTGTCGTCGGGCCAGATTGGACCTACCTTTAGTCGCTCCTGGCCATACAGTCTGGTCATTTTGACCAGAGATCAGGAAGGAAGAAAACTACTTCCATAGTCGGTTTATTATCGTCACCGACAGATATTCCGTTCGTTTCGAACTGTATGCGAGCGTCGATCGTATCGAAACGCGCGACCACGAGAAGTTAATTAAAGAAGAAAATTCATTTAAAAAATTTGCCGTATAAAACTAATCAAATATATTTTTACCTCCGTTACTTATTCGAGAATAGATAATGACTGTCTCGTCGTGACTCTATCTTTAAATTCGAAATTCAAGTATATATAGAAAAAAACAATTTACTTCGCGTTATATTTATTTTAATAACATTCCGCGAAAAATGAAAATTTATAATATGAATGAAATTAAACAATAATTCCTTGAAAAATTTTCTGAAAACTGATCGCGATGACCGACCGCGAAAACACGAAGATGCGTGTAACTGCATGTATTCATGCGAGACGCATCTTGAAAGTGTATTGGGATTCACAAACAAAATAAATAACGTGAGATCCAGAGAAATGAAACTTTCCGTACGATAGATAGGCCGGCAATTGAACATTCTATCAATAATCTCAAATAGCGTATGAAAATATAAAGTTTCAGCGTTCTCGACAAAATATTCGAATCTCACGCCATAGTATTTTACTTTACATACATGTATAAATTTGCTACTGAAAAATGGATAGAATAGATAGAATATCACAAGAGATTAACTCGACGAATATATCAATAATCAAAAAGACAATAAAATAATATTCGTCATATTTTGCGTGAAAATGTGCGACGTGCTGCAACCGAGCACCCGAGCCTCCACAATCAAAATCGCGATCACTCCCCTCGATAAATGAAATATATTAAAGTAAACGTGAAACTATGTTATAATCTATCCATCTTTTGGTAACGAATCTCCAGAATATATCAGTCTACGATCTACATTCTACGATCTACGAGATTCGTTACCTCAATTAAAAAAACTACTCACTCACCGATGCCGATGCGCAGCAGCGGAGTTGGGCTACGCCGATTCTGCAACACAAATATAGAATTCGTTAAAGCAGCGTTCAATGCGAAAGCTAATATTGTAAAATAGATTTGCAAAATATAGTCGTCGCGTCCCAGTGAGAAATGATTTGTCGATCGACGTCGAAGCGACGTCGAGTCGACATCAATTTGACGGTGTCGAGTCAATTCAACATCGCTTCGACATCGATCGACGAGTCACTTCTCGCTGAGGATAGGTAATTCTTATGCGTATCGAACTTTATTCTGGAAAGGGATTACTTTTGCACAAAGTGAAAAATCACATTTACCGTAAAGTTGCTCCGCCGGCGCCCGATGCCTTCTCCAGGCCTGCTCCTCCACTCATTGTCAGATCTCTCGTCCTCTGGTACACTCGCGAAAGCACAAAGAACGTTCGCCGCGATTTTACACTCCCGTTTACAAACTCCCATACGAAGGTATTCTGTCCCGTCAAGCTCGCCTCCACTTCGAGTCGACGAGCAAGTTGAGACACGCGGTATCCACGTCTTACTGCGAGCCTCAACAACTGTCGAATCTGAAAAGTGTGATAGGAACGGACGTTGGACGAATACTCGTTCAAATGGGCTTGGAAAAGTCTTTGGTTCGATTATTTCAACGGCACTCCCGAGCGCGACGAAAACGGACACTTCGTGGTATACGCGCACTTTTGTATGCACAATTGTTAGCGAGATTGTTTCTTAGCAAGCGATCGATGTATTAGAATTTCTCGTTCTCGTTTCACCCGACGATTTGCCTATTACCTCGCGCTTTTGATCGCACTTTCTCCCCCGTGGACGCCAGCGACGTGATTACGGATCGCGACAATTGCGTAAACGCGATCGACAAGTGTCGTACGAGACGCTCGGGATTCTCGCCGGAAACGATCGCGTTACGAGAAGCGACGCGAAGACGCGCGGAGCGTCCGCCTCGCTCGACCGATCCGCGCCGACTAATTCGGCACAGTAGACTTGTTTTCGACCGAGGGGGTAGAAAAAACATTTACGGCGCTACGTCATTTCGTGGAACCGGCGCTCGGCGACCGAGTTGTTTACAACGCTCGGCGGAAAAAAAAGGTGACGCCGTACACAGGATCGTATTACTTTCGCTCGATACGCGTTCGCGACAAGCGCGGGAAGAAACCGATATCGCTTTCTGCGAATAAAGCCAACGGCACACGATACTACATTTCCTACTGGATTGCTTACGAGAGCCAATCAGGATTTAGCTTTAAAGCCAACGGCACACGATACTATTTTTCCTACTGGATTGCTTACGAGAGCCAATCAGGATGCAGAGTTTTCGATCAGGTGACTCAAAGCTGAATCCTGGTTGGCTCTCGTAAGCAATCCAGGGCCTAAATTCCGTACACGATTACCGACGACCATCGATACGTTAACGACGTTTGCGCAGCTTTTCTATCATGTAGAAAAAGCTGCGCAAACGTCGTTAACGTATCGATGGTCGTCGGTAATCGTGTACGGAATTTAGGCCCAGTAGGAAAAATAGTATCGTGTGCCGTTGGCTTAAGTGTTCGATACAGGGCCGGCGCAAGGCAGGTTCAGCGCGTTCGCCGGAACCCGGCCCCGCGTTTTGAGAGGCCTCGCGGTCTACGAAAATTACCCAATTAAAAAACACCGATTTTGATTAACTTTTTACATAATGATGACACCATTAACAGATGCAAGACATTTTTTTAGTAGCGATGATTCAGCTTAAAGGAGTGACAAAAATCATCAAAATTCAGTGTAACTCCATAAAGTCCTCATATCCTGGAAACTACTTTAGATAAAAAAAATCCAGACGCTTTCGGAGAAATGTACTTTTTAGAGAAATTAAACTACATCAATAGTTTTTTTTTGCAAAAGTCATACATGATTACAGATTTTGTACTTTCATTGAAATTTTTGCCCCTTGAAAGCGAATTATGGATGCGAAAAAATATTACTTGGGTTTGTTTAAAAAACGGCTTTAAAAAAATAGAGATAAGGCATAGCAACGCCTGACATTTATTATTATTGGATTGTATTATTATTTAATATTCATCTTATAAAAAATATATAATATGTAACAGCATTTGTAAATAAATAATTCCTCGTTGTAAAATTTAAGTGTAGGATTTGAATGCGTATTCAGGCCCCGCAAAATTTTTGACCGGCCCTGGTTCCGATATCATCGCGCGATCGCTGAATCCCCGCGATTTGCCATCGGTGCTCGATTAGCCGACAAGATAGATATCTAGCGCGATGTATTCGCACGAGATTTACGCATCTATGCATCCAAGAGTCAAAGCGCCAGCTGACTAAAAATTACCTTTTCATTGCGACAATTACGGACGAGCGCCATCCCCGCGGGGGGGGGGGGGAGAGGAGGTTTGTTCGTCGCGACTGAACTCTCTGCACTTTTCAACGCCCCCTCTTTCTCCCGCCAACGTCCGACGTCACGATTATCTATCGCCGCGAGAGAGTGCAGAAAAATATAGCGCGGTGACCGCTGCAAAGAGCAGAACCGACGATTCCCCACGGATGTCAGGCGACGTTGTTTCGCGGCGTCTCCCTCTCGTATCTCGGGGATATGATGTGAGGCTCGAGGCGGGTGTCATGCGATACGGCTCGGGATTCATGCGTGGCCCGCGCACCCGCGCGTGATTCGCCGTGATTCGCGGCACGTCGACGTGTCCCGCGAGACATGTGCATCGCCGCCCCGTGAGGAGGATCGACCTGCTACACGCCTCGCGACCCGCCCGCGCCCGGGGACCAGGATGCCGGAACGGATCGAGATCGGTACGTGGAGTCCCCGGCTCTCTCGCGCCGAGTGTACGCGCGCGTCCGCGGACCCTCGCGTTATTTACACGCGATGCGACCTAACCTAAAAGCGGAGCAACGTGAGCTGGTTTGAGAAAAGGGGGGAAAAAACCCGTGGAATTGTACGCCACTCTGTTGCTAAGACAGAATAATATGACGATCGAGAGGGGAAGCTTGAAGTTTATGAATCTAGTTTCAAATGTAACTTTTTAAAATGGAAGCGACTAAAGAAAAAAAAAGATCGTGTCCGGAGCTGGCGAGGTAGATGCGAACGCTCAGGGCACCTGTCGCGGAAATGTTCGGAATGGATTTCGATCGGAATCATTTCCTTTTCCCTAGAGAGCACAATAATCTAGGAAATAATCGGAACAACGCCGTCTCGTATAAAAGTTTTGTTCTGCGTTTTCGATATATTTTTTTTTCACGCAGAATCACCCTCTTCTCACTTGTACCGTCAGTTTCGGGACGCCCCGTATATTTTGATATAATTTACTTTATATTCGTATGTTTAGATCATTTGATAAATTTTGTTACTTGAGTTGCGCAAATTCCAGGTGTTATTCCGAACAACCTGAGACACGAGGAAACCATAGTTCAAATAACAGAAGCCCTGGACAATCTGGGCGATGCTGTCTCGTATATATTCGATTGCGTTGACAGGAGGCTCTCGGAGAACACGCAAAGGTAAAACAAAACGGAGGAGTCTGTCGATCTACCGATTTTCATCGCAGCCGCGAACGCTCGGTCGCCTTACTTGATTGCGCGCCTGCTTGAGGTGTTCAGTGGCTGAGGAGTGCATTTTCTCTTTGCAGATTAACCAGCATTAAGGAGAGGGCTAGGAAGCTGGAGGACAGATTGCAATATTTACAGACCAATTTAAATTTGAAAGCGGTAAAAATGTATTCCGCCGCTAAATATCCGGCCAATCACGCTTACAAGGAGTATGAAACGACCATACCGCCCCAGCGCGAGCATGCCGCCGCTATACCGAGCGTTTACAAGTGTTCCGTGCCTATAGAGGACATCCCCGAGGCATATCTATCCTCCAATTGCAAGACGGAGGACGGCCAGTACGCCGCGAGTATCAGCCTCCAAGAAAAGCTGCAGTTTTATCACGTACGATCTAAGGCCGGCAAAAAAGGCAACCTTGAGGATGACGTGGGACCATTCCCGCCGCAATTATCCTCAGTTAGCGCCCTCCTACTGTTCGACAGCATGGACAGCCCGTACGAAAAAACGTCCGTGCGATCGTTCCGTCAATCGGCCGATAAGCAACAAATTGAGGACGCCCCGGATTCGATTGTGCAACCGTGGCTCTCGTCGGAGATGGACGCGTCTTCCAGCTACTTGTATACCCCGACCCTTGGAGAGGTCAGATTCTTATAATGCGTTGACTTGCTCTTGGCAGTGTAACTTGTGCATTAACTGAAACATTCGTACTTGTACCTTTATATCGTGAACTTACGAGTTTTGCTTCTGTATTTCAGGTCCCTCAGATAAACGTGCCGCTGACGCTCCCCGATTTACCAGGCATTGTGGACGACGAGAAATTTGTGCTCGATCTCAACTCTCAAAGTCCTATCGCGCCGTCGTCCGCGGTCACGACGCCCACCGTTCGTTTAGACCTCCCGACGCCAATCAGCGACGAGAGAGACTCTAGGGCTGAAGACAGTGCGCCACACTTGCCTGTTTTACCTGGAACCACATCTGCCGCAACAATTGCACCTGCGCCGCCGCCTCCGCCACCTCCTACGGCCGCTGTGAACGCGGACAGTGCCGCGAGCAGCGAAAAAGTTAATTTTCAACAAGTTATGGCTCCTCCACCGCCGCCGCCGCCGCCACCGCCGCCGCCACCACCACCGCCACCGCCACCGCCACAAATTGCAGAACCGACTGTGCCTGCGTCAAACGAGAAGAAGGCCAAGACGGCGAACCGACCGTCCGCGACAACCGTAGAGGACAATCGTTCCAACTTGATGGCGGCGATCCGAGACGCCGGCGGAATAGGCAGGGCGAAATTGAGGCCTACTGCACCGGACGAGAAGAAGTGCGACCGATGGTCCTCTGCCTCGGTCGGGGGAGATCTGATGGCGGATCTGCATGCAAAACTGGCGCTGAGACGCAAAGGCATCGCCGGTTCCACGGTGGGCGCTCTAGAGAGAATGTCGAGCTTGATACCGCCACCCCCGAAGCCGAACGAAGCGTCCGCGTCGGACAGAAATTCCGCCGCCAGCGAGTACGACTCGCAACCCGACACGGACGATTGGGAAGAGTGATTGTTGCTGTTGCAATAATTGAACAGCGTGCCATCGAACAATTGTCGTAATAAACGAGGAATCATGATGAAATGGCTTAAAACTCAATCAGCATTCGCGCATGAAGACTCAGGGGAATTTTTTATTGAATAAATCCAGCAAAGTAGGAGGACAGAATCACAATACGCAGATCTAGTTACATTATTTTTTTATTCGACGGATCTGAAAAATTGTTCGATTGTAAATTTCATCTTTGTCCTGTAGTCACTAGTCATATCTCTTTTTCCCCCCCGGAGAATAATTTGTACAAAAATTTATACTAAATATATAATTTCGATAGTGCTATAATAAATTGGAGCGAAATAGAATTACGTACAAATTACAAGCTCTTACATAGGGATGACAGAAGAATCGCTACGAAAGGCTAAGTAACAGAATAGAAAATTTTATTTTGTACGTCAATACACATTCTCAGAAAATTATTTCATTACATTTATGTATATTCGTTCCGTCGTATATATGTATCTTCCTCAGAAAAAGTCTGTACATAAAGTATATTATAAAACTAATTAGTCCAATATAATGTCCCGATTGTACCTTTCCTAATGTATAATACACAGTGTACAATATACGAATGTAACTAATGTACATATACTGTTACGTTAATAAAGTTTTATATTCAAGTCCTACATAATGTAACCGTATAATACACAATACATTTAGGATAGTAAAATTTGCACGGCTGTTGAGCAGTCTTTCAATACACATCTTAGGAATTATTAATATCACGACTCGCGATATTTGATATGTTTATATTGTTCGCAACATTCGATATACATATATGTATATATCTGAAACTCTTTACAAAACAACAAGCTTTGCCTAATTATACCCTGATGTCATACTTTCATTCGACTGTTTCCTATGTATGTACACACGTGGCAGAATTGAAAAGGAAATCTGGCTTTCAAGCGCAATATACTTTCTGTATAAAATATCTCTCGTCGTATCTCGAATAGTTTCAACGCTTGGCGTGTGTATCATTTGACACTTGCATGTACTCGAAATAGCTGCCAAGTAAAAGTAAATTTACGTGATCCATTTCTGTCGCGGTAAAATTAAGCGCTTTGCATCCGCCGAATATAAATCGTAGTGTTAAGGGGAGCGATGGATACCGAGAGGCAAGACATTTTTCAAATATTCTATAATTACACGGCGCGACTGAGATTATAAACTCGGCGCGATCCAGTTCAAGAATTTCATGCAAACTTCGAAGCCCATAAAGCAGGCTGCGTTTGCAGGGAAAGCTCGTAGCATAACGGGCACGACACCCTTGTACAGCGCCGTTGGTCCCTCGTTTTTCATCAATTTAACGAATACCTCGCGTACCCCTCTTTTGTACGTGCCTTCTGGTGCTGTACAATGGTAATAAACACTGTATTTCTATCCGTAAATAAATAATAAAGTCTACTGGACTCGATTAGAATCTTAAAAGAAAAAGAAAGTGTAGATGGGTATACGTACCAGTCTGTAGACGGCTTTTTAGGATATCAGGTGGCATCCCCACCAGCCAGTTTGCGATGCCCGCAAAACCACCAGCGCTTATCGTAGCCAGCAAGCTAAGTTTCCCTCCCTCTGGAGTAAACTGCTCCTTCAGATATTCGTACGTCAGAAAGTACATTCCGCTGGCCGGAATATCTGAAAAAAAAGAAGAAAAGCGTACGTGGAGGCAGGAGTAAATTAGGAGTCGCTCAAGTCACGCCTTACGCGCGAAACCAAGATGGCATATAAACATTATGTAGAATTAATAATAGCGAGTAGAGCGTGTGGGCTGGCAGATAGAAGGCATCCTGCTGATAGGAGACACATCAAAGCATATAGATAACAGTTAACAAAATCAAGTTTCCTTCGGGCCAGTGTGCTGCTGCTGGTCCTAAGCATCGTACTCCTGCGTCTCGAAATCGCACCGGAAAGTGAAACAACATGACATTCGCTCTCTTGTTTCTCGTCGCCCTGTCTTTGGTACATACAAATCTTAACGCTGTCGCGCGCCTCGCTGATAAAGCCGCTTCCGCGTAATTATTTTGCACACGTGACGTGTCGACATTTAACATTAATTTAATATTAATATTTAATACAATGACCGCTCTATCAAACTGGGTCGTACGTTACGAGATACGTTAGAAAGTCGCAAAGTAATTCTATATAAGTTTGAAACATTTCGTCGCAATATGCAGTCATTGATTCAAGGCGCGTTGTATTCAGGATCAGTATACGGGACAAATTGTCGATATCGGTGATGTGTGGGAGATCAGATGCCCGCAGGGATGCACCTGCGAGATCCAAAGGTACTCCGATCTGTCCTTGCATCAGTGGGCTGGCACGAACCGGGATAATGATCAGGTATGACCAAGTGAGCGTACAGATTATCAACGTATTCCGTAATTTAATGCGTCTTCGTCATAAACAGGACGTGCCCTCCGACGACGTTGATTTTAACATCAACGACAATCCAATGGCTCATGAATTGCTGAAGATCGCGACGTGCGTGATTGTTGACAACCCCGAGGAACTTCTGGCTAAGCTTCCTCCGGATATACAGGTCACACGAGAAGCAGATATACTTTCGTACGTCCGTATATATCCCTTGTATGAACTTATCTTGGCGTTTCATCAGGTACTGACGTTGCTCGAATCCGGCAGCGGGGACGTCGATATCCTTCTGCAAGCTAATACGTTTCAACAATTCGCCGAGCTGATGTCGCTGGACATTCAAGGGATAGATTACAGTGATCCCTCCATGAAGGAGGCGAATAATCGTACGGATAAGGGCGGCATTATTCTCGCGTCCGACGCGATGTATCCCCTGGGATCTACTTTACTGTACCTAAATCTGGAGCGTGTTAAATTGTCCAACTTGAACTTGCCGAACAAGGACAAGGCGAATCTAGTGATCAAGCCGGTGAACTCGCAGGAAACGGAAGCGGCCGACGAAAACCAGGTGCCTGTGGGCAACAGCAGCCAGCACAAGGGTCACAGGCTTATCTTTCTAAGTCAGCAGAACAGCGAGGACAAGGAGATACTGCCGTACGATCTCTACAAGCAAGAGCTGGAGGGCTACAGGGAAAACGTTGAGCTGCTCGCCGCGCTCGGCGCGCTGACGCATTTACGGGTGTACGATTGCGCCCTGAAAGATATATCTTGGCACATGTTCGACGGCCTCAACAGCCTCCTATATCTCTCGCTGGAAAAGAACAGCTTGAAGTTCATCCCCGAATTCTGCTTTTACGGCACGCCGAACTTGAGATTGCTCTCGCTGGCGAGCAACGAATTATTGACGCTGAAAAGCGTGGACCTGGCGGGGCTGCTTACGCTAGAACATCTGGACTTGAGACAAAATAATCTAACGTTCCTGTCGGAGCTGTCGTTTCCGCCTTTCCCGGCGCTCGTAAGCGCCGACTTCACGGACAACCCTCTGGATTCCATTTTTCCCAGGTAATTTGGTAAAACTTTATACGCGATACGCGTTTCCCTGATTAAATCTGTCGTACATTTATTTCAGTACCTTCGAGATCATGAATACGACAATAAAATTATATCTCGGAAGTGTGACATCGAAACTGAAGCTGCAGAAGAACTCGCTGCTGGGTCTACGTCGAGCCGAGATATTACATCTGTACAATCTAGAGATGCCTGTATTAGAACGTTTCACCTTGCAAGGACTGCCGTCGTTGCTGTACCTTAAGATGCGAGGAAACGTCTCGAGCATCGACTTCGACGCGTTTGTCGACCTCACTAACTTGTTGGATCTCGATCTAAGTCACTGTCACGTTCAGCGAATCTCTATGGATGCCTTCTACGGTTTGGAGAACGTTAGGAGAATCGACCTGTCGGACAACGATCTTGAAGCCATACCGCCTGGCTTGTTCACCGCTCAACAGCAGAAGGAGCTGAGGGAAATTGTACTTACGGGAAACAAATTAACTTCGCTACCGTTAGATTTCTTTAGAAATTTGAAGTCGCCGAATAAACCAACGCGCGTACAAAATATAAGATTGGATGACAATCCTTGGGATTGCGCTTGCGGCATGGTCAGCTGGAATCCCAATCTGGTAACGTTACACTTGTTCTCCATTTATCCGCGCCATTTGTGACTACTCAATCACAGAGACCAAGTACTGAATTAATAACGGTAAAACCAACACAGGTGAACAGAAACAAGGAAACTGCGCCACGCTGCTCGACGCCAAGACGATTACAGAATTGGGGAGTCTTTTATGCGTTGCGCAAGGGTGGCTTGCAATGCAGGAACCCGAAGAAGCGGTACCTACGAAAGTCTCTGAAGACGAGAAGCTTCGACGAGGATAACGATATCAGTTAGCCAATCTCCCTTCTCGAATTGTATGTATATGCTGGTACACACGGAGGATCGCGAGACGAATATATAAAAATTTTTTATAACACGTTCGCTTTTTTCTAAAATACATCTCTGAACCTTCGCTTCACATGGCAAGAATCGGCGCGTGTGATAAACCTGTATAAAAGTTGCTACCTTATCTCTGTCGACGAATCTCTACTTATTGTTAGTATAGAGGAAAGTCCCCTATTATATATGTATAAGTTCCTAATATGAAATATGAAATATGAAATAGCGAGGTTGCTACTAAACTAATACGCATCATCTGTCGGTTTCACTATGGATTTCTTGCCCTTGGAGTGAAATCTGTTTGACAATTTATTGTTAGATCGCGCAATCGTTGCGAAAGAAGATTTGTGATTGAATTTGGATGTCGAAAACCTGCTGTCTCATATTAGAAATCTATCTCATAATGGAGGACTTCCCTCTACATATACAAATGTAATTCCCAGCGAACACCAAGTAACAGCAACGTAACATAATTTCTTTGCTACAAATATAACTAGTTACAGTTACAAGTTACCAATTCTGAAAAGTAACGCGTTACAGTTACAGTTACTCAAAAAGTAACGAATCGTTAATTGGCAATTACTTGCCAGATAACATGCTTGTCTAAAAGACATCTTCAAGACTTCTTTAAGACGTCTTTAAGATATCTTTTAGACGTGTATGTCTAAAAGATGTCTAAAAGACGTGTTAAAGACATCTTAAAGATGTCTTTTAGACATGCATGTTATCTGGGTTCCTTGCAATGAAATTAAAAATATCAAATATGCATTTGAATCGTAAAGTATGTGCGAATGCAAGGCCTAATGCGATCTGCGGAGGTTTACAATATATATAAAGTAACCATTAATGTAACTAATTAAATTAGTTACTAGTTATCGAAAAAATATAATTGAGTTACTGATGGAGAGAAAGTAACAAAGTTAAGTTAGAGTTACAAAAAAAAGTAACTGTAACTGTAGCTTCATTACTTCCCAACCCTGGTGTTACGTTACATTTACATTGCGACGGTTTCTTGGCGTTCACTGGGATTTTATAAATAATGTAACTGCGTAACGTTACAAGACACGAATCGCACCTCTCAGCAACGTGGCGCAGGTGCCCTTGTAAATACTTCTGATGCCCCCTTCTCGGTACAGTTGCTTCGCGCAGTCCACAGGTCCGCTGTACTTGGGCTTCGCGTCCGCGTGCTGTATTTGCAGCAGACACTTGATACGCTCGCCGGGCGCCATTATGACAGTCGTGAATATGCCGCTGAACGCGCCGGCGTAAAACAACTGCAACGGCGTGAGTTTCTCGTTCGGCACGCGCTGCTGCAGCTTCTTCCCGACGCTGTAGCCGAAGAAACTTATCGCGAAAATCGGTGCAACGCCCGACAACGGCGCGCCCATGCCTGAACAAAAGGACAAAGGCAATTAATACGTTTACCAAAATCATACAAGCCTCGAAGATATAAACGTCAGGGCACTAGTCTCGCTCGCTCGACCGAGCTACTTGAAAATTATTTATATCGCGTTACATAAGGCATTGCGAATTCCTAAATACTAAATTGCCCGTTACACCCTGACGCAGTCGATCAAAGTATAGCCGACATATCGCGATAGTTCGAGAGTTGTATGTTTTTACAATCCTGACGCCGAAATATGAGAAGCCCGATGCGACGACGTTCGCGCGGCGTCGAGCGCAAACGTAAGTACCCTTGTACAAGCCACGCAATCCCTCCTTGGTGATCGTTTTCTTCGCACAGTCCCATGTGCCAGAGTACAGGGGCAATTCGTTCGGTCCTGGCACTGGCATCGTCTGGAGCCGCACCTGTACACAGAGCTTTTGTAGAGAACGTACATGACTCGTGCGGGAGGCAGGTTGTAACGGCTCGGGCGGACTGCGGGGAGGTAAGGGTGAGGCAGGAACGAGCAAGCTTCACGTTTAATTCGACTTAACTGGCTGTGTTAATTAACGTGTAACCTCACCTTTATGGTGTCCAGGGGGTGGCCCGCTATCACGGTGCACACCCCACCGAATCCACCGCTCAAGAAGTATTTTACGGGGCTGACGGCGTCCGTCATGGTTATTGCACGGCTGGGGGGCCTCTCGACGGGAGCAGCGGTGGAAATAACAGCTCTAGAACTCGACGGGCGAGCCAGGGGGGTCAAAGTACACCGGCAATTGGCCCTTGACGTATCGAGATCGCAAGCTCCGTCAATCGGCGGTGACGTTTTCCACAGTGCTTTACGTAACTCGACGTGCATTCGTATTTACGTTGCGACGACATTTTTAATAAAGGAGACGAATTAAGGAGAGAAATCTCGTCACAAATACCGTTTCATTAGAAACGGCCGAGCTGCTCTCGCCAGCCGCATATCGTTGCACCTTCTGCACCCGAAACGAAGATAAGTGTATATTCAGGCGTCGCGAAAGGGAAGAGGAAAAAAGAGGAAAAAGGGCGTTGTGCGCACAAAAAAGGGCCGGACCAAGGTCTGACTGATAAGAAGATATTCGAGAACGCGCGGTTTTAATTAATTCCACAGCCGTCGAGTGCACGCATATTCCAACGGGGGGACAATTGCAATGTATGTACCTCATTCAAGAGTTCAAAAAATCAGTTTCAATCAAATCAATCAAAATTATCGAGGCACAGTGGAATGGAAAGTCTCCAAGTGAACGGAAATCGTAGCTCATTTTAGAAGATCTGAATCGTCGGGTGATTTCAAGTGAGAATTTCTTTTTTGCTTTGTAAAATTTGATTCCGGCGGTTTCTCCGGACTTTAGGGCCGGTATTCATAGCCGGGTCTCGTATTCAAGGTTTCCTCAGCCATCTTTTTTACCGACACAGTCAAATATAGGTTTTTGCGCTTGTGATTCGTTTTATTAGCTTTTGTGCACAAGATAATACCAGGATAAATTGCGGACCGTGTAGCAGAACATTTTCATGTTTAAAAGACTCAGTTCAGAAGTCTAATAAAAGAGATATTGGTATTTGAAAGAGTTTCAACTCGTAGTTCTAACTAAATTTGAAATTGGCTTTATAAAATTGCAAAATTCTTCCACACGATTAAAGCGCGCATAAAGACAGAACCGGGGACAGTCAACTTTATATAAAATAACGACCCTAACAGCAAAAAGTCGACGGAAAGTCGACGAATGTCCGCAGAAACGCCGACTTTTCGTCGACTTTTAATTGACTCTTAATCGACTTTTAGTCGACTTTACGTCGACTTTTAATCGGAAAGTCGACTTTCCGTCAGTTTTAACAGTCGACTTTCCGTCATCTGTGCTGTAAAGCCCGTATCAGACTACGGATTGGGATTGGGATTAGATTGAAATTTGACCAATCAGAGTAAAAGTTAAGCCCGTATCAGACTACGGATTGGGATTGGGATTAGATCGAACTTTGACCAATTAGAGTAAAGGTTACTAAACTCGAGATTAGTAAACTTTACTGCGATTGGTCAAATTTCAGTCTAATCCCAATCTCAATCCGTAGTCTGATACGAGCTTTACTGAACTTGAGATTAGTAAACTTTAAGCCCGTATCAGACTACGGATTGGGGATTGGGATTAGATTGAAATTTAACCAATCACAGTAAAGTTTACTAATCTCAAGTTCAGTAACTTTTACTCTGATTCGTCAAATTTCAATCTAATCCCAATCCCAATCCGTAGTCTGATACGGGCTTTAGGGGAATTCAAGACGATTGAAAGATCTGACTATGGATGTGTTCGAAAATGGATTTAGTTACTGCCAGTGAAAACAGTATAGTTGGTAGCAATGAAAATTACTGGTGCTGCGTTTTTCGCACGCCAGTAAAGTCAGTAAGGCTGGGTCTACATTGGATGTCGTAAGTCGTGTCGGAAGAAATTGACCAATCACAGTTCATTATTCGACTTACGACATCCAAT